TACTATTCAAGGTTTACTAAGGTGTCCTTTTAGGCGGTTGTCGGCAATGCCCGGTAAGGATCCCTGTTATAATACGTAGCCTGTTCTTGCTCAGGCAGATGCAGGCTTCCGATCTTTTCTGGTTATATTCACCCAGAAGTATCTTAGCCTGTCTCAGCCCCAAGAGATTGTTCCAATTATCGGCTCTTCTACTGCCCAATTCTTTTTTAATCTCTCCTAATATTATGTTACTGCTGATACCGCAGAACGGCTCAGGTCCTACAAAGGGTGTGTGAGCCCCTTACTTGCAAGAATATCTGCAATCTCGTTACCCTGTATCCCGTTATGTCTTGGTACTCAAGTGAGAGTAACTCTATTTTTCTCGCCTAGCTCATTAAATTGTTCTAGGCATCTCCAGACCATTTTTGAGCTGAATACGTAAGCGCTCAGCACTTTGATGGCTGCTTGGCTATCGGACATGATGATAATCTCTTGTTAAACTGGAAACGTGAATTTCCGCCTGGAAGATGCTTGGATATTTTCCCAAATTTTCGGAGTGCTTGGTTCTCGGTCCATACACTCCTATTCCAATTCCTTCTATGGTTTTGGAACCGTCCGTATACGACTGAATAGCATGTCTTTCGGTTGCATGGGCGTTGGATTCTTGGCTCCATTCTTTCTTTCAGCCCAGCTCTGTGGTTTTGAAGTTTTTCACAAAACTGTACTTCTTTAGCATTTTATCTTGGAGCATGTCCCAGGTTCTTTAGTCCTGAAGCAAGTAGACTTTTGTCTGTTTACTCCGTTCCTGATCATTCTGTATCGTGTCCTTTTTGCCACATTCTCTATCATCAAATGTAGAGGGATGAGGTTTAAGATCACCTATATTGCGGCCGTAGGGCAGATTATAATTGCATCGGTGATGCAAACACAGGCTAGTCTTTGTACTCTTGAGATATTAGCTCTCGTAGTAGCTAAGCTAGTTCTGTTAGTGATGATTGGTCTCACTATTGCAGTATACATCCATCGCAGTATGTTTGGGTTACATCCTCATCGTTAACCTGCAATGTTTCTGAGTTTGTTGTCCAGGGTTAGGCCTAGATATTTGACCTAATTTTTCCATTTTATATCTATCCCGTCTAATTTAACGGTTTTGAGATTAAGTTTTCTTTTACTTGAAAAGACTACTAGTGTTGTTATTGTAGGGTTTATACTAAGTCCCACTACACAGCACCATCTTTTGGTATGTTCTAGCAAATATGACTATGAAGTCAGCATAACATTGAGAGGGTATGCCGAGGTAAGTCAATCTGCATAGAAGTTCGGCTACGGTTAGGCTCCCCGTTAGTGGGGATAGAACTCCTCCTTGTGGACATCCTCTGGTTGTGCAGGTGGAGATGGTGTCCTGTCCTATCTGTGTCTCTGCAGTTCTCGTAGATAACAGCTTAGCCATCTATCTGGATGTGATCTTATCTACTCCTCTGTATGTAAGTGTTCTTTTGACAGATTCGTGTGGCGTGTTGTCAAAAGCTCGTTCTATATCTAGGAAGGCACACTTGACCGTTTGTTTGTTTGTCAGTGCATCTTGGATTACGTCAGTCAACTGTTCCAGGGCAGTTTCTGTAGATCTTCCTGTTCGGTACGCGTGTTGGCTGTGGTGGAGTGGCACCCTCTCTAAGACTTCCGTTCTGATATAATTATCAACAACCTTCTCCATTGTTTTTAATATAAAGGATGTGGGGCTGATTGGTCGGAAAGGTTTAGGATGTGTGTTATCTTTTTTCCCTACTTTTGAAATAAAGGTGACTCTGGCCCTTATTCATGCTTCTGGTATATATCCCAGCTCTAAACTGCTCCGGGATAGCCAGATTATGTGTGGTAGTAATTCATCCTATGTTCACTGAAGCAAGGCAAATATTCCATCCACACCTGGAGATTTAAACGGTTCAAACGTGTTTATGGCCTACTTTAACCGATTTCTGCTGCATATGTGTTTGGCCACTACAGCGGCCTCTCTTGGGGGCCTGCTTACCTTAGTTGTGTCCCTCATTAGAAAAGGTCTGCTTCCAGGAAAGTGAGTTTTGAGTAAAAGGCGAGCTCTTTCCTCGTCACTCTCCGTAAAGCTTCCATTTGGTTTCTTTCTTTCTTTTGCCAGGGCCCTGTGCAGTCTCGCTGCCGCAGGTGTAGAGTTAATATCCTCGCAGAATTTTTTGAAGCTGTTACGTTTTGTTTTCCTGATTTTTTTATTGTAGGTAGTAAGTGCCTCGGTGTAGCTCTGCCAATCACCGCTCTGCTTGGCCCTATTATAGAGCTTCCACACTTCGGATCGTAAGTTTGACAGATAGCGGTTCCATTAAGGAGCATCCCTACTAGTTTTATTTCTTTGAATGGGGCAGCTTGATTCACATACTTCAAGTATTGCCCCATTTCGTTTTTCGAGAACGCTTTCCAAAGCAAGTGGGTGCCTAAGCCCCTTTTTTGTCTGGATACGTGCTAAATTTTGTTTTAGAATGGTGTTGTATTTGTCCCAGTCTGTTTTTCTAGGATTCCTCCCGAAGATCGTCTCAGGAATGCCACTCTCTAACGTAAACACAATTATCTTGTGATCAGATAGAGATGGTTCATTCGATATTCTCTAGTTTGTAACTAGATCTTTAATGATCGGTGTGCTTAATGTGATATAATACTTCACTTCTTGTTTTTGTTACAAATGTTGGAGTGTTCCCAATATTTTGCACAGTAAGGTTCTTATTAAAAATATATCCTAAAAGTTGCTATATTCTAAATGTGATTGGTGTCGTTGCTTCCCCATACAGTGCTGTGCGCGTTGGCGTCGCATCCAAGAAGTAACGGCAGATGTCTTCTCTGGCAGTACTAGCCTCGATACTTCCAGGGGTGGTACAGGCCCATCTCCGGCGAAGTAACTAGAAGCTATTACTGGGTATTGAAGCCTCATCCCTAATCCCAGGTATGCTCGAATTGGGACGAGATCACGAGTCATGAATTCTGAAAGATAAGAATATTTAATATTATTTCTTACCATTATGCATGTTCTGGGTACTTCATCACTAATCTGATAAATTATTCTTGCATCCTTACATGCAGGTCCTCTAACCTGGTTCCCTTAGGCCCACGGTTCCTGGATCAGTATGATCCCTAATTGATCTTTAGTGAATGTCCTGGAGATCACAGCCGAGGCTCCCTTGGCGTGATGGACCGCCATTTTACTCTCCTTTAATGGGGATGCCGTCCCCATCAGTGAGGGTGTGTTCCATATCCCCCTCTTCTGCTACTTAATTAATTTCTACATCCTCAGATGTGATACTTTTAAACTATTTATCATCACAGTTTTTATTTTTCAAGAAAGTGGATTATTTTGTATATACGGATACGATCAATACTTTATTAATTCAGACAAATCTCAGAGTTTCTAAATTTTAAACAAAACAAAAATTGTGTATAAAAGCTTAATGTGGAACGATAGGCTGGGGGAGAGTAGCTCGAACTTACGTGAATTCATTGTAAGATCTTCAATGAAGATTCTTCTGAATTATGCTAAATAAAGACCGTCTTTACCCAAGTGACCCGCTATATAAAGACTCTATAATATTAGATTACCGTCAGCTATCCTTTTTTAGATATCTGCAGAACACAATTTCTGATAAAGAACGCTCTATTGACCGAAGCACTTGATTACAATACGTGTCAAAGAGGAACTTATATTGTTTTATTTATGTTCATATCAATCGGACAACGAAGTTTAAATTTTTTGGCACCAAAAGCATTAAATCTGGCGTACATGTCGGCCACTGAAAATTTTTCAATAGGCTTTGTACAAATCTATGTCAATACTACAGAGAGATAGCATTAGCACATGCAGGACACGAATAATATCAGCGTTGCCAGTTTTTGTGGCTCGAACGCGTTATAACATTAGCCGAGCCGTATAAATTGGCAACGCTGATATTATTTGCACCAAGAATGGACATTTATAAAATTCTTGACCAAAACAAAAAAGAGAAAAATACTAAGCAAAAAAAGTTAAACAGTAAAAAATAATTTAACAAAAATTTTTTTAAAAAAAAGGTATAAAAAATTTTAAAAATACCTTTCTACATTTTAATTTCATATATTATTAATTTATTTCACCTATACTATCAGAATAAAAAGAAAAATCATTTTAAGGTTTGATATAAAACAGGCGTTTACGGACCGCAACGTGTAAGTAAGAACCCGAGGCGCTAAGCGAGGGCTATTAACACGTAAGGTCCATAAACGCTGTTTACGCCCTAAATACATACAACACTTTATTCACGATCCTTTTAATGATAATTTATTAACAAATATATAAAATTTTATGTACGACTGTTTTATTGATCGTTTATTAATAAATAGCTATTGTTTTAATAACTAGATGTGAATTTTTAAAAGAAATAAAAATAATTTTTTCTATGACTCTTTAACAATATTAGTATTATACATACACTTTCTATTGATTAATGTAAGTGATTACTCATACAGTTTTTTTTTTCATTACTTAATTATTTCTTTCATTACACAATTATTTTCAACCATTACCTCATTATTTTCAACAAAATTCCATCACAACTACAACCTACACGGAAAACCAGTTAACCAGTGGAAATATAGCTATTACTTATTAATTTGGATTCAAAAGCTTCTGCTAATTTTCAAAACTGTTCTAATTTCACAATTAATATTGGAATAAATAAATTAAATAAAATATTGTATAACTCTTCTATTATTTAATTTAATAATCATATTCTATTCGCGGGTAATGGCTATTACTCAGTCGGATAATTAAGCTACTCGCCTGCGGCTCGCAGTGCAAACTTCATATTCGTAAGTAATAGACATAATTACCCGCTCGTTGAATAATATACTATTACTTGATCGCCCGGCGGGCGGTAAAGTAGTTCGCGGGCGATAAAGGGGAACTAAACGTATTTTATTTTTATTATTTGACTAGTGGTTTGCTTTATACCATTATTTTCCTTTATTGCTTCAGAATCCTCGTCCGTGCCATCAGTTACACGGTCCACGGATTGATTCCTGCCAGTTGCGTTTTTGCGGATCGTTATAATCGAGAGGAGGTCGTTAGATCGTTGGGTAAAGAAGTCAACATAAATCCGCCGCTCATTCTTGGTCAGCTTCCGGATACACCAGAAGAATTGCTTAAACTCGACCAGGTAAATAATGCTCTTTCAAAATTTACCAAATCTAGTAAGATGTCACTTTGGCGCCTTTACATATTTTCTTTAAAATTTTACTGGATTATTTTATGTACCTACACGTTTTCTGTGAAAAGTGTATCCTTTATCATATGGCAACATTACTATATTCTATACCAGACCAAATACGAAAACAATTCAATAGGAAGAACATTAAGTTTTTTGTGAACATTAAAATAGTTGAAAAAAATCTTTAGGATCTATTCATTCTCGAGTAATAATATGTTTATTTAACAATATTTTTATTTATATAAAATTTCATCTTAAACCTTATCTTTATTAACAGTTTGCCAGTTTTAGTTCTTAAAAAAATTCAAGTATGTCTTCTTATTCCGGAAGATACTGCTTTAGTTTGACAAGATCATTCGTCTGATAATAGGTATTTTTCCAACATAAGCTTTTTTGACAGGAAGAGTCAAAGGTTTTGTTGATGTATTTCAAAATGTATCACAAGTCAGTCCATCTATAGAAGATTTTGTCACAAGAACTTCTTCATTTTCAAAAAATATAAATGCACATACTGACTTATTTTAAGTGATATCTTTTTATCTTACACTAAGTTTTCATTCTCAATTCTTTATTATTCCTGGAGACGTCTCTGCAAGCCGCACTGCCTTTTACTCCTGGAGACGTCTCTGCGACACTGCCTTGGCTGATAAGAACGGTCTTCCGTCTAATAGCTACATCACAGGCATCATTCACTTCTTATCCACTTCTCATTGGTCATCCTTACCCGGCAATTGCTTTCATTGGTTAAAAACACCGGCGTTAGGCACTTCCTAATTGGTCAACGTCGAGCGTCTCTCTCAATCTAGCTGAACAACTTCTCTCCCGGCAGAGCTTCAGTACCTCTCAAACACAACACATCGTTCTGCGGTGCTTAAGTAACAAATTTCTAAAGAAAAGTCTGTATATAATGTAAAAAGTATCTAGTTTGTAAATGAACCATGTAATAAAATTAACAGTTTCAATAATAGTGTTTTAAAATAAAGTGTGTAATTAGAAAGTGATGTTTTCACCCAAGCACTAATCCTTCCATCCATACGAATCGCACAGGTATTTCTAACATAATTTCGGTAAATCTGCGACAGCTGATTGTATTAGCTTATGTGTCACGTGTATTAGAGAAACACCATTAGTCAGCGACTAATTTGTGATTCATGGGCTTTCTCAAATGACCGATTCAAATGTCATTTTTGGTTTTATCGATAAAAAAATCTTTTAGGCGAGTGTCACAAAAAATTATATTTTACGGATTTATTAACATCCCTAAAGTATAACTTCTTTGGCCGCATTTACTTTACGGTCGCTTTAAAATAGCACTTTTTGAATACAGTTACAAAAATTTATCAAACTTATCGTTATAGTTCTAGAACCAACGTGCAGATTTGTGATTTATTGCCACAACAAAATACGTCACAAATCTGCACGTTGGCTCTCGGACTAATAATAATTCTATACAAATTTTATTACTTAACAATAAGTTTTATATTCGATCAATAAAAATTTTAAACTTTCTTGCTTTTAAATCTTTTCAGAAAGAAGAATGTTAAAAAAGGTTGAATTTACTTGAGAAGAAAAAATCAACTTTGCGGCTATAGTATACAAAAACTATAACAGAAAAATGGAAAAGGAAAAGTTTTTATATTACAAAATTTGCTACAACACCATTAAATGTTTCGTGTCTCCCGGGCCATTGTCATTTTTATTAAATAAGGATCAGTGTAAATAACAAAAATTAACAACCCATTTAAATTCTAATTTAATGATATATCACACTTAAGGGCGCAGTATCACTGTATTTTTCATATAAGAAGCAAGGGTTCACCATTTCCGATTGCATTTAAATCCCGCTAAATGTATTAAAATGAATCTTCTACCAGCTTAAAGTATAAGGTTTGGAGAATGAAATCTCCTATTTTTTATTTGTCCTGTTTATACACTGAATTTTAAAAAAAATCATAAAAAGTGATTTTAAAACCACAGGCTAAAAAGTAGGAGATTTCATTCTACATATTTTTCCAAGTATCCCGCCAAAATATTTCTAAATTTTATTGCGTATTTTTCAAATCTAACTGGAAATACGATTAACAAATATTTGATAAATTTATTTGTCAAATTAGAGATTTTCTATGAATTCCTGTAATTGTGTATAGTTTATGTAGTTCATCTATTTTTAAGAAGATGTCACCGTAAAAAAATCTAGCTACTCTGTTTTAGAGATGGTTTTAATAGGTAAATGATTGTTTAGAGGTACCAATTTTTGAAACAATGATACAGCTGTATGCCGTCTTTTATTGTTTCGTGATATTCATATATATTTGTCTCGCTTTGCGTTCCAGATACAAAATTATCGATTTGTGTTCCTTGCATATGAACAAGTATTGGCCACGTTGCCAGATGTACAATAAATATCGATTTATACGATAATTTCACAATTTTTTCTCAGGCGAATTTAATTTTAAAGTGGGTGAAATGTGAAATGCGGGAGAGGAACTTTATTGCATTGAGATGTAATTTGAATCCGAATGACCTGGCATCACTGTATGGTACGCACGTAATATTTGCGGGACTTGCTTTCTTCTAATGAAAGTTATTTTATCTTTATAAGGAACTTTATTTCTGAGTTAACACGTTGACTGCTATGTGTATATGTACCCTTGTGTATGTCCCATTAGTGCGTAATTGTTCAATATTTTAAATTGTGTTAAAGACACGCAAACATGTTTCAAAGAAAAGTTATATGGATTTAGAAAATACATATTTTAAAAATATTTTTGGATATACAGGGTGTTATATTTTTGCCTGGCATATTTTTTAAATAGAACAACATGTATTTTATTTCAGTTTTAGAATGATTTGGTAATACTGTATTCAAGCCTAGAATGTTTAAAAAAACTATTACAGGTTTGCCAAGCAATTAAATTTTTATGAAATTAGAGAATGATATGCAGACCCCAAATTAAATTATCATAATTTGGGTAGGATTACATTAATTTCAAAATTGTTTAATATACAGACTTGTAGCACATTAAGATAACAAATAGTGTTGATAGTGCTGGATTCTTTTATACCGAGTGTTTTGAAACTTGTCTTATATATGGCTACTTTGAGGTTTAATTTACTTAATTTTTTCAAAGGCAACATATTTTAGCATACAATTCCTTATAAATTTGCCTGTTCAACAATACCAACATGTTAGAGAATAACACCCTGCAGGTAGTTATACATATTTGATTGTTTTCAGGTTGTCAAATAATTTTAATTGACTTCATTCATTTGCTATGTTATATGTAGGGTGTATCAAAGCGCGAGGTTACGATTTTTTTAATTGTTTCAATGGAATTCACTGTATTAATTAATTGGTGGTATAACATAGAGAGTATCACATTTAAAAAATTGAGAAAATCGTAACCTCAAATTTTGACACATTCTATATACAACATATCAAATGAATCAAATTGAAAATATTGTTCGACGATGTAAAAACAATCAAATATGTATAACAACCTGCAGGGTGTTTTGCTTTAAAAATGCACACTGCATATTTATGAATAATTGTTAAATATGGTCATACAACTTTTATATTATTTTTTTTTCGTATTTCCTATTATAAAACTCATGTGTTATTGACTATCATATTGGTATCGTTGGATATGTAAATTTATAAGGAATTGTATGTTTAAATAACATACAGCGTGTGGCATTTGAAAAAATTAAATAAATTTAACTTGGAATTAGCCATATTTAAGACTTGTTTTTCAAAACACTCTGTATAAAATAATCCAGTTCTATCACCACTATTCGTTAGCTTAGTATCTTATTACTATTTTTTTAAATTAAATTATAATTTAATTTAGGGTCTGCATCATTCTCTAATTTCATAAAAAAATTAATTTATTGGCAACCCTGCAATATTTGTTAATAAAGTTCTAGGGTTAAATGCAGTATTACAGCATTGCATGCAGCATTCTAAAACTGAAGTAAAATACAGGGTTTTTTATTTAAAAAATATACCTTTTTATTTGTCAGACAAAAACGCAAAACACTGTATGTCTAAAAATATCTTTAAAATACCCATGTTTGAAATTCATATAACTTTTTATTTAGAAATTATTTACGTGTCCATAACACAAATTGAAATATTGAACAATTACGCACTAATGTATGTCCAGGGCCGACTAGAGGGGGGGGGGTAGCCGGGACTAATTCCCGGGGCCCGGCTTAAATGGGGGCCCGGCAGCGCTGTAAGGGGGCCCGGCAAAGTTTTTTTTTGTTCTGCATGAGAAATTCGACACAAGATGAGAGAGGGAAGTTAAGTTTAAATTAATTAAAAGTTTTAGCCTAGAGAAGTTTTATTCGGGTGAGGACTTTTTTTTTGTTTAGAAGAAGAAGTAATTGAAAGGGAGAATAGTTTTTGATGTAAAGACCTTTTAAATTCTATTTCAGTAGAAGAGGAACAGTTTTTGGTTAAAGATTTTTTTGTCACATGGCCCGATCTAGCGAATTATCCTGGGGCCCGGCCTGGCTCTCGGCGGCCCTGTGTATGTCCTGAATATATTATTAACAATATATGCACGCCACATATGTTTGTAATAATTTAATCCCGCGCCGCGTGTATGTATTTTATTCGCGCATCTATTAGATATTGTAGTTTACCTAAGTATTTACTTAAACTACTTAAAACGTAAAAACAGACTTAAATTTTTAGAAAAACTATTTCGGCTCAGCAGACCCGACCACAACATTTGCTTCGGCAGACAACGTGTTTTAAATGCTTTTTTATTTATTTGTTGTTTAATGTGTATTTGGTTATTAATATTTCAAAAATGCTTATTTTTCTTATTGATTAATCTAAAATGAACACGTAATTTTTATTAATAATTGAAAATAGTACTGTAATTCTAAATTGATAAAAAAAATTATAATAAAAACTTAATATGAAAACATAAATTACGACTCTACAAATGAAGTAAATTTTTATAATTAATTTCTCTTTTCTTACAAAAACATTATCTCAGCAATATGTCATAAGTTGCATACACACAGTATGTCTATGTAAGTTGACAGCATATAGAAAACTTTTTTTATTATTAATTTTATGTAAAAGTTATTCTTTATAAAAATGTATGCATGGTCTAACAGAAAATGCAACCACCCGATATCAAATTTTATCAGTCGGTTTTACAAGGTTTGTCAAAAAATTTATTTTCGACAAACCCTATATACGACTGATAAAATTTGATATCAGATGTTTGAATTTTAGGTTTTAGACCATGCATAACTTTTTATGTAAAGTAACTTTTTTTCTAAAATTAATAGATCATTCAATTGTTTATGAAAAATAAGATTTTTTCTTAAAATTCTTAAAAAAGTTTTCCGTATGCCGCCAAGTTACACAAACATACTACATATAAATGAGATTAAATTTGTTGAAAATAATTTTTACTGATGCAGATCTATATAAAGTATTGTGGGTAAATACGGTAATAAAAACACTTTTTTATTATATTTTTCTTTTTTTTTATTTGATTCATTGGCTGCAAGACCTTTCGGTATATACAGGGTATTCCATTAAGAATGGAAGCAACTGAAGATTAACTGATCAGAAATAAGCCGATTAAACGAAACATCCGTAGGTAAAACATTACTCGAAAATCAAAAATTATAAACAGCTACAATTTTTTTTGTTATTCAGTTTAATTTTACTAAATTCGGCAAATGTTATTGGTGTAATAAAATACACCTATCAGCAAAAAAAATAAGTTAAATAAGCTTTGCCAGTGGCATACTTCATGGGCAAGTAACACCTTTTTCCCTTCTAAATTTTAGTCCACTGTCCAAAATTTTGATTTTTTTTTATTAAATTTCTAAAAAGAGTACATTATTTATTTGAAAAACATCAAAAAATTTAAAATTTTATGTCTAAATAACTTTTTGGATAGTGACGTAAAATTTAGAAGGGATGCCGTATTACGTACCAATGCTGTACGCCTCTGGAAAAGTTAATTAAAGCAGGTAACTAATTTTTTGCTGATAGGTGGATATTTTAACATCAAAACCGTTTGCCAAATTTAGTAAAATTCTTGTGAGTAATAAAAAAATATAGCCATAAATATTTTTTGGATTTTAACACCGTAATTCGGAAACGAGAAACATTTTATCTAAACATGATTTGTTTAGTTGTCTTATTTTATTCAGAGAATCGTCAGTTGTTCTATGTCCCATTCTTAACGAAACACCATGTATGGTATAATAGGTCCCTACGTAATGATACGAAAACCTTTATCCTTTGTTGACTGGACACAAGAATGAACTACTAAGTAAATATACCGATATTCCGAATGTAATCCAAAATATTATTTTTATACCTGCTACATCGAAAATATTTGCAAGGTCAAGAACTCGTTTACGTATCATCGCGTAGTGGCTAGGGGTGATTAATTTGTTATTTTATAACAATTACCGTTTAAAATTAATAAAATTATTACGCCATCTGTTGAACAAAAGAACTATTAAATATGGAATATTGCTCCATCTGTTGAACAAAAGGATTCTTAATTTATGACATATAAATGACATCTATCAAAATTAGTTCATGTTACGAATATTGGGGGTGGTACTGTGGCCTTAAGGTTTTTAGGTCGTTTTGTATAAAGCAATTTTTAATTACGGGTTTTGGCTCTGAACCCTCGATATCGTGTTGTGTTATAAAATACATATTTAAAAAATAATTTTAATATGGTTCGAATTCCACCGTTGGCCGGGATTTTTTCATTTAATTTAATTATTTAAAATTAATTCTGATGCCTTGGTAGGATTCCCCACTCGACCATTCTTAAAGTGGCGCTGGTAAACAGTTACAAAGCCCACACAGAACACGAGATAAAATAATTTGAGTAGTTGAAGCCGATGGCATGAAGACAAGAAAAGTAATATCGTATTGTAGCAAATTTCGTATTAAATTAACTTTTCCCTTTTTTATATTTTTTTTTATTAAAATTTCTTTACAAAAAAAAGTGAATTTTTGGTGTTCACTGTAAAATTCGAGTATGATAATACACCCTTCAGATTTTTTCAACACTGTAATGTTCCCCAAAATACTCAACTTTTCCCAGTTAATCGTATCTGTTACTGTTTAGAATATATCAATATTGGAACACCATAGAAGATATTTATACAGATACGGAAATTTAAACACAGGCCATCAAAGCCAAATCTGTTAAAGTCGATCAGAAGTGGAGTTGAGGTGGAAGTCGTGAGTACCGTTTGCCAAGCATGGGCCATCTAAGCCAAAATCTGAAAGAAGATTATAAGTGGGAGTGAGGTGGAAGTCGTGTGTACCGTGAGCCAGGCTGGCGGCGCTACTCAACTCTATTTGTTTGTTTTACGAGAGGTCCTATTATACCTTTTTCAATTCAATTTAAAATAGATGATCTTCGTTTACATATCCGTACCTGTGCATACTTAATTTAGTTCACATATTATTAAATGGCTGGTTTGCTATTTCGCTTAGAAATAATTTAAAAAATATTATTACACTAAAAATTTCGATTTTAGGTCTTTATTAAATCTGAACTAAAAGTGGGAGTGATCTACGTCAAAGAAGGCCAGTACACAGAAGAAGAAATTCTAGACAATAACGACAACTCCTTTCTGTTCGAAGAATTCCTGCAGATTGTAGGAGACAAGGTGCGATTACGCGGCTTCGACAGATACAAAGGTGGCTTGGACACTGTGCACGATCTCACTGGACTTTATTCGGTATACACAAACTGGAGAAACATCGAAATTATGTTTCACGTCAGTACGTTGTTACCCTACGAAAGACACGATTCCCAGAAATTGCAAAGGAAGAGACACATCGGTAACGACATTGTGTGCGTCGTTTTTCTTGAAGCTGATAATACATCATTTTCACCTGCTTGTATCAAGAGCCACTTCTTGCACACCTTCATTTTGGGTAAATAATTTTAATAATTTAACACTTTTACTGCCTTATTTACAAACCATATTTAAATTTACGCACTTAATAATCCTTAAAGATAGAAAAATCATTATAACGAATAATGAATAGAGGTGGATGATACTTCAAGAACTGTTATTTAATTATTTTATTCTTGATTAACTGACATTCTTAAGATTTTTCTATTTCATAGATACAAAAAAATATTGACGAATGTTAAATTTTATAATGATTTAAGGAAATATAATCTCATTTATTTGAATTTTAATAATCACAGTAACGATTTAAAGTATTATGAAAAATCATTCAACTCTATTTTTTCTCTGGTCTCTATCTTTAAGGATTTATACGTAGGTAAATATATGCAGATGTATTATGAATAGGTACATCGAAAATTAATAAACAAAAACAATATACTTCAAATTTCTTTAAATTTCGACCGCTTTCTTTAATTTTGAAAAATATCTTATAATAGGGCTTTTTTTGTTTATTAGTTACTCACAGCTCATTAAATGTTTTCACATGTTCTGTATATAAAATACACATTTTTTAATAATCACTTGCTACGCATATACTATTTATCACGTAAGATTGACCTTTATAACATACGGCATATCCTTCGCATGTGATTTAAAAGGAGATTAACATTATTTATTCTTTTCTACCCAACCTTTTTATATCTAATTGGGCTCTATTATTTTTTATAATAAGTCATCTAACTTGTTCTTTTTTTATAAGACTTAATAACCTTGACCGTAGCTTTTCTTCGTATTTTCTTTACCTAGTGTTAGAAATCTCAATCTAGCTATCCCTTTATACTGGCACAGGACGTGGATTGATGATGTTTCCTCTTTTTCTTCACAGAACCTGCACAATCTTGCTTATATTAATGGATTGATGACACTCATGTGCCGCCTTCTTAAGCGACAGTGTCCGGTAAGAAGACCTAACGATTTGTCGTTTTTGATCCAGTAGGCCTTTCGTGAACTTGGCCGATTGTTCCCTAATGAACTGTTTGGCCTGTCTCAATCCTGAACAGTTGTTCCGCTATTCCTAAGAATAGTCTTGCAGCAATTGTTTATTATGTTTAGAGCTGTTTGAAATCGCTCCGAGATTGGTCTCTAAGTCGCCACCTGACGATAATTGCTATGTCGTCCGCGTAACCTAGGCACTGATAGATAGTCTTCTTCGGACAATGTGTTAAGAAGATTTTTCACTAGAACTGATTACAGCATTGTAGATAGAGTATTCCTTCTTCTGGGCAGCCCTGTGTAATAAAGTGTCTATCCCATTCTTTAGGCTAATAGCGATCCATTGGCATATTGTGACTGGGTTGTGTTTTGTTCTAGAGCCTTCATCTGGTTGAGGCATTACTGAAAACTCCTTCGATATCTAAGAAAGTGGCTATGGCGATATCTTTGTCACCTATATTTATATAAGTTGTATTTTCAATTATTCATTATTAGATAATCATTAAACATTGTGGTTTTCAACCAAAGATCTCCACATAAAATGTATAATTTCATTAAATTCAAATGAGTTACGCCTTTTTAAAAATAGTTTTTATTTGAACATTATCTGCCATGTAAATTGCAACAGAAAGTTCACAGGAGTTCAGAATGTGATTTAGATCTAACGAATCTTTAACAATGCCCATATCCCACGTGATCTGGTAAAACAAGAAATTTAATAAAAAAAAAAACAGTTAGTTACCTTTATGGCAGCTGAAGTATCAAGTCTGTCAAATAGATCAGTGTTACTAGTCGATTTATTAATGTTACTTTTAACCAACAGAGGACATCAGTTAATTCACGTGTGATACAAATATTGTTGAAACCTCTGTAATTAGAATACATCCAGAAACTTATATTTCTAGAAAAGACTTTACTAGTGCTACGATTTAATACAAATTGATAATTTTGTTTGTTTAATCTAACGTATAAAATCATAAAATAAATACAAATTTTAGCAAATATTGGGCCTTTTATTATATTTCTACTATCTCAGAAAAAAATATATAGAGGCACCACTATCCCTAGGTAATTTTCATTGTTATATTTCAACAATATCTATCAATAATTCTCCATTATCATCAATTTCGTTTGTAAACCCTGTCAAATCAGAAAAATAAAAAAAAATCGCTCTCATCTTCCGTTACTAATTCTTTTATTACTAACAAAAACAAAATAAAATGAGATTAAATTCCAAGTTAAACTGATTTAGAATTTAACATTTTTGTAAAATCATAGAACTTTAAGACCAATTCGTAATCATTCGGAACACAATACATTCGTTATTGAAATACTGCACTGTTGGTTCTTTCAAATTAACTTGTTGGAACGGTAAAATAGCTTTGCGTAAATTCAATAAAGTGTTAAATGTTTCTGAACTTTTCTTGGTAGAATTATTTTTTTTAATGATTACTAAGATTGGTATTTAAAAAACACAAGAATGTTCTATGTGAGTACAGTTCATCAAATTTCTAGAGGTGTTCGACGCCCAGACAGAGAACGCGCTACGTGTGACTAAGATAGCTATTGTACAGTCTGCTAAACAAGTTATTTTAAATAGTTTTTAATATTTTTAGGTAATTAAATTTTAAAAGTGTAGAATAGTTTAGGGATTAAATTGGTCTGATTGGACTTTCTTAGAACGTTTTTAAAAGCAGCTAAAGATAGTATGTAGAATTGAAAATAATTATTATGCCATAAAAGGTGTTTTGGAATTCCTTCAACCTTTTGAAATTGAGTCAGAAAATATAAATTTTACAGGATAGCGGAAAATACCTATAATTTTTTTGTAGGCCTTTGTAAATCGTGGAAATAGTTTATATTTTATTTCTACCTTATTAAGGAAAATGGTACCTATTATTAATAACAGTTGTTTCTGAAACATTACTAAAATTTTCGAAATTTTGTTTTTCTACAAAATAATAAACTATACTATTTAGAAAAAAATTTATTTCTCTTATAATTTTATAAAAAATAACAGGGGAATATTTACATTTCTTGATCTATTAAACAAAACGATAAATTATCTCGACGAATGACACCATGTTCTAGTACGGAAGCTAGCTTTACATTTTTGTTGGTGGTTTCATGGGTTTCACATCAATTTTTTGTAATTGTAGTTTCACGTACATATACCTCTTAACACTTGTTTGCTTTATTAAAAAAGTGTGTTGTTGTGATTTACGTCGAAATAAGTCAAAAACAACTTGAAACCCCATATAAAATCAAAAAGGAGAAACGAAAAAAAATTGAGCCTGTAAATGAACACAACTCAGAAACAAAAATAGCTACCTATCTAATAATAAAAAAATAAAATTTGATTCTTGTGCAGCTTCATCTATATCATTAATTGTTTTTGGTTTTTTAATGGTTTTTCTTGGTGATGAAAATTCCGATATCTCACGGTTATCGATTCTTTTTTTCTCTCCAGAAATGCGGACGACAGTGTTTTTAGATACTCCTGTGGCTGCAGCAACACGATCATTTACATTTTTAAATGGTATTGAAGGTGAATTAAAGTTTCCTTCTCTTCTCATAAACTCTATAACATTGGCTATTATTTCGCGAGATTGACTGTTAATCACGCGGCCTCTTAATTTGCTATTAAACTCCATACTTAGATTCTATTAAACTGTAATGAGCAAAAAACACAAACGAAAATAAAAGAAATGTTTTAGCGAAATTTACATCTGACATTTACGTCTGAATGAAATACTTTATGCGCAGAGTGTACTTTCATTGCGTAAATCCGTCGGGATGCCTGTCAGTAGTGCTTTCTCTGTCTAGCCGTCGAAAGGCTCTAGAAATTTGATGAACTGTACGTTAAATAATGTCCGAAAACCGGAAGTAAAAATGTTCAAATATACTATGCATATATATATTGTAAGGAATATGGGTTGTAGGTAACGTAGAGGAACGGAATGGGGTCGTTAAGTGGGCACTTACGTATGAATTAATTAAATGACTCAGTATAATTGCTTTATGCACACAAAAAAGATTTTACAACTTGTAAAATAAAATAAAATAAAATAAACAATATAAAACAATATCAAAAGATCAAGCTAGCAATCAACAATGCTCTTACCGCATTACTTCATTCCTGTTCTCTTCCTTTTCGTGTTTTCTGAATACAGCGTTGGCCTAATTGTGGCGCGGAGTAGGGTAGTATTACATCATAACCTTAAAATAATGTGCGTAGCCGCACCAAAAACGCGATTACAAAAGATATGAAAAAGCACTTCAATGTTTACTGGGATATAACTGATTACTTTGTTGACAATAAGAATTAAGTGCGCTAAATGTACTAGATTATGCGAATATTTATCACTATTTGTATTTCAGTTCGCACTTCGCCACGAATCAAAAGAAAACCAACCCACTACGAGGTTTCAGTGGTAACCAGGGACGAAGTAGGAGCCTACAAGCCGTACCTTTGGGAACAAAGCGTTTTCGACAAAGGACCCATGTTTAGGGAATGGCTGCTCACCAAAATCGTCAACGGAGAAAGAGCCAGCTATTCCGCCCCCAAGTTCGCTCGTATGCAGGAAAGAACAAGATCTCAAATGCTGGAGGACATTGTTGCCAATTTGCAGAATCATGCAGAAACAGGGCAAATACCAAAACCTTACAGACGAGGTTAATATTAAATTAAAAAAAGGATTAGAAATTTTTAAATATTTTAAGTCTGGGGGAGACGCCACCTAATTTTAACAATATAAAGTTTGTGATGCTTTATTAATAATAGTATTTATAATAGTATTTATCATGAAGGGACATTCTTATACCTAACCCTATTAATTGATATAAGCAATGATAAAATAGTGAACAGATTTAAAATGAAAATAAAATGAAATGACACTACAGTTCTCCCTCGAAAATACTTCAGCTTTTTAAATTCAAGGTAGCTATGAAAGTCAAACACTCTGTATAGTAATTGGTAATATTTCTTTACTAAGTTATCCCAAATATCTCAATTTGTGCTATTCTTCTATCATCTTCCATTATTGTCGGTCCTATTAAGATTTTCTTGTTGGTACAATTTTCCTTTATACTGTAATTCTCTAGAATATATTCTACATTTTACTTTATTTGTTTTTATAATACTCTATATACATTCAAGTTAAAATTCATGATACAGTTTGAACTGTTAAAGTATACTACATCTAAAGATCAGCTTTAATTATCACTCATTTACAATTGGTTTCTACCATAGTTGAATCAACAGGTGCCACAAACTTGTCAACAATGTTTTCAAATATTTGTATAAAATGCAGAAATCTCAATTATATTCTCTATGATATGTGCTTCACAAAGGGCAGAAAGATCGTGAATAATAAAATATTTTAGGTAACATTATTTATGTAATAAATACATGATATTTAGGATATAAGTTGAAAATTTAAACCAAAAAATACTACCAGATCATGATCATTTAACTGAGAAGTTTTGAGGTTTCGCATTATATGTTGGATCATAAAAAATATAATAATATATATTGGTGGAATATTGAACAACAAGATATAGATATCTTAAAAGATATGAATTAGGTATTGCACGACTGATTGCAGATGCATTAAATCTCAAAAAAATAATAATTCTGCTGTATTTTGGCAAGTTATTACTACAAAAGGGTAGCAGAAAAATTAATATACTTAGCGTGTTTTTTCGATAATTACTATTAACAAATTTCAAATAAAAATTTTGCCTTAAAATATAAATAAGTTCAAAAGTTTCTTCTTTTTTGCACCTAAAATAAGATTGGTGTGAATGGAAACAAAAACTATGTTTAATGATGAAAAATATAATTATATTGATAGAATTAAATATTGCACAACTATATACAGCTATCTCGACAGTTTTGAATTAAGTATTGCACGATTGATTTCAGATGCACTAAATCTCCAATAAATGTATCCTGTTGTTTTTCGGCAAGTTAATACTACAAAACGGAAGTAGAAAAATTAATTGATTGAGATACCTAGATACCGTGTTTTTTCAATAATTACTGTTAACAATTTTCAAACAAAATTTTCCTTTAAAATTTAACTGTATATTCGCACCTAAAAGAAGATTGGTCTGAACGTAGATAAAAATAAACAGATCATGATCATTTAACTGAGAAGTTCTGAGGTTACGCTTCCTATGTTGGATGATACAAAATACAATAATATTGTCTTGAGCTAACGTCGATTTCATTTCCTTCACCGACATAAGGGTTCCTTCCTATTGCGAGATTGATTGAAGATTTGAGGAATGTATGATTTTATTGGAGAACTGCTTGATAACTTGTTTTGGAATGTTGAAATAATTAAATAACTACTTCTGTTAACTTATTTATTTTAATACTATAAACTTTGCATTGGATCACATAACAATTTTTACATCATTTTATGAGTGTTTAAACTTTTATAATGAACATGTATGTTTGAATCATCTTTTTTATTTGTTTTAAATAGAAACGAAGTGTATGTGAAAGAATAAACAAAAGATGTTACTCTGAAGGAAGTTGAAATAAGTATCTTGGTTCGTTAGTCGAGTGTCGTGTGGAAAGGTTGGTACCTTTGTTCTACTATTTTGGTTGGTCTATGTAACGGATCATATGTTTGGACACCGTCTTTTGATTGGTTATTAAAAACATAGCGAGAGTTTACAAGATTAGTACGGACAGAGATAGAGTATATGTTGTAACTATTAAATAAAGATGTATATTTGTTTTTAACAATTTATTTTTCCTATACCCACATTAGAGCGACTAAGATAGATTTATGAGTATGTGAGAGGTGGTACTGAAATTTTTCCATGAGTGAGAAAAGTTTATTTTGCGAATGAAAATAATAGTAAATATGCTGCAGGTGTGCAAAGTATATTTTTTCTTGGAACTCTAAGTCAATTAAGCTGCATTCTTGGTCTGTCAGGGTTGGCCTTGATTTATGTGAGATTTTTAAATTCAGTAATGCAATGTACAGATTGAATAATAAAATATATTGTTATTCTTATGTTTATTATATATTTTTTATAAGGAGTTGATCATAAAGAGAGTAACTGAAGCATCTGTTAAAAAATGCTTGTCATTTTAGAACAAATATACGAGTATATTGGTGAAATTAAATATTGCACAACTAGATATTAATATCTAGACAAATTTGAATTAGGTTTTGACTGATTTCATATATCTCCAAAAAAATATCATTCTGTTTGTCGTCAACTTAACATTACAAAGGGATAGCAGAAAAATTAATAGATTGATATACCTAGATAACGTGTTTTTTATTAACATATTTTAAATCAATACTTCCCTTTAAAATATAACTAAGCTGTTCTTTAAATTAGTTCAAATGTGTCTTCTTTTTGGCACCTAAAAGAAGAGTGGTGTGAATGTAGACAAAAACAAATAGATTATGATCATTTAACTAAGAAGTTGAGAGGTTTCGCTTCCTATCTCCAATGATTAAAAATATAATAAAATACATGGTGTTTATTAATAGAGTGCCGATACTTAAGGATGTGAATCCTTGGATAATTTTAAGAATAAAACTTAATATCAATATAATATGTCGTAAACCTCTTAATTTTTGAGCTACAGAGTGATGTAATTTTCTTATCACTCCAGATATTGTTCCTCAAAAAGTGTTTTTACCTATGGATGGGTGCCTACCACATTTCAACAAAATACAAAAGCAGTTTCAATGAACTTAAGAAAAAAAATTGTTTGATTTTTATTTTTTTTATGCGAAAACGGTGCATCGTACGAAAGTTTCAAATCCAAATTTGCTCCAAAATAAATGAGAATTTAAAAATAATTTTGGTTTTTAGAAAAAGCAGTGTCGTTCGAACGTCACTGGTAAAAATTTAAGAAATCTTTTACGTCAAAAATGCTCCTTAATGATTATAAGGTGTGTACAAAATAACATTAAAACATCTGTAGTGATAAGAAAATTAGGATAAAGTTATTTCTTTAACTGTAACACCCTGTAGCTCAAAAATTAAGAGGTTCACGACGATATTAACTTTTCTTTTTAAAATCTCCCAAGGATTCACACTCTTAAGTAATGGCACTAAATTAGTAAACACCCTGTATATAGGTGGATATAAATGTTGCACAACTAAATATAAATATCTCGAAAGATATAGTAGTTGATTTAAGTATTGCATGACTGATTTCAGATACACTGAATCTCCAAAAAAATCGTCTTGCTGTTTTTCGGCGAGCAGATAATCTTCTTTTACACTTCTATTTTAATTATCAATGTCGTGTTTTATGGCGATGCTGTCATTAAAATATCACGTTCATGTTACTGACATCTTCATGTATTCCTTCCTATACTTTGACATTTAGACTAATCCAATGTTATGTAATGATAGAAATCTGCTATGATAGTATCCCTTTATGCAAATTTATTTTTGTAAAAATATAATTCATGTGTCATCTGACGCTAATTTCGACCGACGGAGTTGACTTAATTATGTTATTAATTAGTGACAATACGACAGTATTATTTTAACTATCTGGTACATTGATTAACATGACTACGAAACAAACTTCTTTCGGTTCGAACCATTATCTATCGTAATCGTTGTTACATTGTTATCAAACTGATTATATTCTGTTTCTAAATATACTTTCGTGGTACGCCTAATTAGTTGTTCATATTTCTTTAAATTCCAAATCATGCCAATCCGCAATCTTTGGAAACTACAATTCGTACGTCACACTCATTACATTTTCGTCGTTGGGACTGATATTCCTGATAGTTTAAAAAGTTGTCGATAATAATCGTACCACTTAATATATAACCCTTATTTCTATTAATTTAATTATTTAATGGACCCCGAAGCTCGCAAAAAACCAGGTGCAGGTGTGCAGTGAGGTGTGCATGCAAGTGGAGGTTCAGGTTCCTGTTTTTACGTTATGCATATTTAACGTCTAAATAGTGAAAAGCAAAGTTCCTAACAAACAACACAAAATATACATCTGCACCACACTCATGCACCTGGATTAAATTTAAGCTTCAAACATATGATAACTTGGTACAGTAAATAGATTAGAAGAAGTGGTCAATAAGTACACTACATTTTCTTCTTTACAGAAGTGGCCTAATTCTAGTAAGTTAAATCCAAAACTAGGAACAACTTTACATCTAAAAATGGTTATAATGGTTCCCGCTTTCAAAACTACTTGATGTCGTATTTTGTGATGTGAGCTTCGTCGTATGGTATTCGTCTATGTTAAAGAAGATGTTTATATGTTCTACGTGTATCCGGAATAACTAATCAAGGATTAAATTTAATCCAGGTATATGAGTGTGGTGTATACAGCCATTTTATCATTCATACAACGATTTATATCTAATTAAATAACTCATTTCTTAAATATAGAAAATGAAAATGGTTACGACATCTCTCCCGGTGTCAGATATCTCTTTGACTTACCTTACATTAATCTTTCAGGCTCTTGGAGACCAATAGGTCACATGCGTCCCTCTTCACCGTTGTTAGATAGTGTTCGTGATCAGTTTGAAGATTACGATCAAATCGCTAAAGACTTTACTAAAATGTTCTTGAACAGTGAGTCTAACACTTTAACCAATGCAATGCTGTTTGATGTATCTTTTATGGTCGGTCAGTCAAAACAGAAGATCAAATTGGTCGGTGTCAGAGCTATACTAGGGGTGAGTATGTTTCGACATTTGTAGCGTTTCATCATTTTCAATATTTTGTATTTCGGTTTCAGGTTCGGAGCCGGGTCTTTCAAGAAATGCTCTACGGAATCCAAACTGGCTTCGGTTCACCTCAAGTCCCTGTAGCAGAGCTTCTTGCTAGACCCGTTCCTACTCTTCTCAGCCCTCAACAAGCTCGTCCCAAAAGCAGCAACTTCCTGCAAGTTCCAGATATAGAATCCCCCCGACCAAAGAGCGTACCCAGTTCTCCAATGGTTAAAAGGGCTTTTACGAGGTTAGGTACGATCACCGCCGGTTGGGGAAGGTCTATAAGAAAGCATAACGCGCAATCACTTTCAGCAGAAGACAAAAAGAAATGGGCCAGCAGCCAAGATTGTTCAAGTATTATTTTTTTATTTAGTATAACCTTTTATTAAGTTTGTTTCAATTTTAGATAAGGACGGTAAGGATAAGGACGGAAAGGACAAACCTTCCCTGAGCCAGCTTCCTGTGCCAAGGTTAAGCGTTTGCGCAGATGCTCAAAAGGTGGATAGAGCGAAATTGGCTCAAACCGAATTTTCAATAATAGAATTCGATGCAGATACCTTTAGGATCCTCTTAGACTATCTTCATACGGGATCATGTCCTTTAACCTGTTCAACAATACCTGGTCTTATATGCGCAGCTGAGCACTACGATCTTCCTGAATTACTGCAAGCATGTTTTCACCATGCCAAACAATTTTTAAGGATAGAAGTTGTGTGTTGTATGTTGTGTTCATTAGAAAATTACTATTGGAGGTATACCTCGGCTTCAGAGCTGGTCAATATGATATTGGCTTTCGTGGAAACCAGGGCTACAGCTCTCTTTCAAACTACCGAGTTTTTGAACTTGAGCGAATCCATGGTGCAAATGATAATGTGCAGGTAATGTTAATAATGCAATAACTTATCACGGATTAATTATAATGGTTTTGTTTTAGGAATTTGGAAGTAGCGGAAGTGTTAAAATTTGAAGCGATGCTTGCTTGGGCGAAGCACAAAATTCGAACAAAGACTTCTAGTAAACTCGATGCCAAGTTAGAATTTAAGTGTATAATGGAACGATTAGCTAGGGATCTCAAATTGTACCGAATAACTCCACAGGAGCTAATTAAGGTAATAAGATATGTATTAAAGAATTTTTTATTCGAATGTGACACAAAACATTGTTTTACAGACAGAAAACATAATCGAAAAGGAGTACTTTTAAATATATTACACAATCCATATGTACATAAAATTTTAATGAAAACCTTTTCAATTGAATAAGAGAAAAACTAAATAAAGTATAATTAAATCTATTTGACACTAACATGACAGCAATTGTTCAATTGTTATAAAGGATGTATCTACCTAGTCATGCTTATCAATCACAACCATCTCAGTTATAAGAACAATTGGAAATAATATCATTTTGGATTTAATTTTCTATATTTTTTTTTAATATCTATAAGCACATTCGAATAAAAATAATCTATGAAACACGGACAAAAAGGTTATTTTTGACTATGTCTCGCCTGGAAAACTTCTTGTAGTCGCCCGAGAAAGTCAACATTTTGTCCTAATACCATAAACTACTATTGATGGTTTGATGATTGAATTCGAAGAATAGAGGATAGTAAAAGCTTAAATGTGAGTCTTTTGCTTTAAATCGGTGGCGTTGGTTTTAATATGTTACAGAAAACGCTAAAGTTGATCTTATACAGGTAAATTATGTCTCTTAAGTTATCCGGCATTGACTTAATATATACGATGTGATTTTACCAATTAAAATTATCTCAACTGTAAGGTATTTTTTGTATTTAAGAAAATATTCCTTGCCTTCGACGCCTATTATGTTTACGGATTGAATTAATCCACTGTGATAAAACAAAAATGTATTTATAGTCTCATTAACAATCGCGAAAGTGAAATTCAAAATCAGTTTTAAATTCAATACACTGATATTTCCCAAAAAATTAAATAAAGTCGGAAACTAGTCGAATAACCGATAGTACCTTTACCAAAATTGTATTTGACATAACTTTAAACTGCGCATTAAATTGGTTGTGTACGGTTGTCAAGCGATTTAAAAACGGTACGCCAGTTGGAACAAACCTATTGTATAGCTCGTAGTAAAATCCCAGCTTTAGTTGTAGGTTTAATATTTTTCGGATCGAATCAATCGAATTAAATCATTTATTAAAATATATTGAAAAATATCTTTATTACATAGCATTCGAAAGAAAAAATTTAGATTTTGTAATTGACAACACAGCAATCTTAGTTTTCCTGGAAGCCGACCGAAACTGGAAAATTGTAGATGGTTTTAGATGACATTGTTTGTGTTTACCTTGTTGAGAAAGTATTTAAACTTACTTTTTATTCTAGGTTGTGTTGCCGTCAAAGGCTATCAAAAACGAGCGTATTTTGGAAACGTTAATGTTCCAAGCCAATTCGGGCATGTACAGGATCCAGGATTCCTACTTACAGGAATGCACACAAAGACTGCAAAAACAAGACTCCCGATTTTCAGAAATGGAGTCATTTGACTACAGCAACTAAGACTAAGAACATTTAGTATAGAAGACAATCATTTCATGAAAATCATTGAATTTATTATCATTATTTCTATCAAATGCAAAAATTATTGCTCATACTCGTATCAATAGGAGCTGAGTAGCAACCGATTCGTTTTTGTAGATCCATTAGAATTTAGAACGAATCGATTCTATTTGAAATTGTCATCCGAAATCGTTAGGCAATTTATAAAATGAAATTGACCCGATTCTTTCTCGATTTAAAGATTTCCTTAGTAGTTTTTTAACTAATATGTTTTGAAGAGTCATTGATGATAAATTGATTTTTACAAAAAAATCAATACGATCTGTAATCTCAATAAAAAACCGACTCATATATCGATAGATTTAGGATTTTCGAATCGATTCTATTTACGATCGATTCCCGCTGAAAGGAATTAACGCACGGATTTGGAATCAGTTCGACGTAAGATTATGGACAAAATTCTGTGATAACTATTTAATTTCATTAGAAAGTATAATATATAGGTATATTGTAATTAAATATTTTTTTAAATATTAAATGGACATTATTTTAATACTTTTCTTTCTAAAATTTAAGTATACAGTATGGTGTCAATGAATTTCAATAAATCAGCGTCTTTATAGAAAAATCCTGTAATACGGCGATTTTTATTTTACAATAAAAATCGACGGGGTTCAGGATTTTTATATAACGTTGCAGATTCGCGAAATAATGACTTTATTCCATTTATTGTAACATACTGCATCCTAGTTTTATTATTATTAGTATTAATAATAGTATAAAAAGATAATGCCAATTATGTCTGGATTTTGAAATAAAGTCTTGTTCTATTATACAAAGCTGTAAGTATATTATTAAATAGGTACTTATTTATGTTTTAAAGTTTTACATTTTGTAATCAAAGACAGAAAGATATCCAATGTTGCTGCAGTTATCCCGGAAAATGAAAAATATTTTTACTAATAAAGCCATCATGCAAAATGTACTGATGTACAAAATACCTTTTAATTTATTTTTCATATGATTTAAAAGTTCATTTAATTTCTAAATGCTGACATTTATTTTCAATCTAAAATATAATTGGCGATTTATTTTATCAAAATATTTATTTAGAATTTTTGCATATATTTCCTGAGACACCAAATAATAGTATTAAGAGTCAATAACCACCAAAGGTTGTTTTTTTATTAAAATAATTTTATCTGTTTTTAAGATAAATATTATGTGATAAAACGGTTGAAAAAGGTTTTGAAATGATTTTTAAAATAATTTTTGCATTTGATACGAAGCTTATAGGATGTTCTTGAAATAAATATAATAAAGTCCAGAAAAAGATATGAAATATTTTGTTTATCTAACATCTTTTATTTATTGCATTTTAATTAGGTCAGTATAAATAATTCTGGTTTTAATAATGAAATCAAAGCAAAGAAAAATGTTCGTCTAGTTACATTTTTAAAATGAAATATCAGATGAGTAACATATCAAAGTATCAAAATATGTTTATCAATCTTTTTTTATTACCTACTAAATTAAAAATTATTATAATTCATACCAATTTTATTTTGCATAAAACTGAAATTTAAAATTAACGAAAAAGGAAATTTAAATATTATTATTTTACATACATCAAAGCAAAAGCAAATTGTCAAACTGAAGTCCACAGAAAATGACAGAAATTATTTTTTACCATGAACTATGGATGGACTGAAGAAGAAGAAGTTTTTCTTCATAAAAGTTTTTGCTTGTTTCAAAACTAATAATAATGCAAACAAAAGTTAAATATATCTTTGCTTTAGTGAATTAATGATAAAAAAATTGGTTTAGTTGTTTTTACCTTTTTGTAAATATTTCACAAAAGCAAAGACATATCTTCTAAGAAATAATTTCTGTTTGGATTATTATTAATTTTTGAGCAGAATTTTTTTTCGAAAGGATAAAAATAAAAACGTTTTTTCTCCTCTTTTTCAGCCCACTTCGTAAATGGTGGAAATTTTGAGTTTGAATAACAAAATTCGAATTTAAAAACTTCCGAATGTCAAAAATTCCAAAATTTCGAATAACAAAAGCTCGAATGAAATATCTTCATGACAAAATAAAGTTTGAATTTAAAGCAACACGCAATGGCCCCAAGCCGCACAGGTTAGGTTAATTAATTAATTTTTTAGATGCAAAAATGAGAAAACATTCACTAACGGGAATTTTTACAATAAATTCAGTAAATTATATAGGCTCTGTAGCATTTAAGCATAAATACTCTTGTGCAAGTCAAGTATTGAATTTAAATGGAAGAGGAACTTTTTATTTGTAAAATCATTATAAAAAGATAAAATTGCTAGTGTTTTCTCTTTAATCTAAAAATTAAACGCAATTCCGTAAAACTTGTGTTGACTAAATCCATAAAAATTAAAACAACAATATAAAATGTATTTTAACAAACCTACTTGGTCAGATATTTAAATATTAAGTTTTTAGTGTCCAAAGAAAATAAAGAAGTTAAAATAAAATAAATTAGGGAATTCGTTTCCAATTTATAATTTTGTAGTGTATTGCAGTGTACTACAAAAGAAATGCATGAGATTAATAACTTTAGATTTGCAAAAAAACACACCATATAAATTAGTATTCACAATTTTTCCCTAAATTCGTTTTTAAAATCAATTTCGGTACTCCCACATGAATCTGTAATTGTCAGTAGTAAACGCTATAGATTTTTCAACGTTTCAACAAATATTTCTGATAGTTTTAAGGCTACTAGTACCTACATACATTTTTCTATATGTAGACATATTTTGAATTCAAAAAGTTCACCTAATAGTCCTAGAGCCAACGTGCAGGTTTGTGACTTATTCTTATGGCTGAATTTATTATTAAATTGTACTATGATACGTGTCCAACAAATTTGTGATTGCGCGATGTTCAAACTGGGGCGCTTAGGCATTATAAGTGGTACGTGCCTCTGAAAAACTTGAATTATTTCCTTAACATTTTTGTTATGCTCATTTGACGATAAGTAGTATCCACCTACAAGAAATATTAAACCAAATTCGATGGGCCATTTTTTCTCTCCACATGGGCATACGAATAACTTATTTTCTTATAGCTGAATTTATTATTAAAGTGTAGTAAAATATGTGTCCAACGATTTCACGAAAGCGCGAGTTTCAGACCGGGGCGCTTAAGTAGTTATAGACATTACAAGTGGTACGGCCCTCTTGTAAACTGACTTATTTTCTTAACATAATCATTATGGTCGTTCGACGATAAGTGCTCACCTACAAGATAAATTAAAGCCTCCACCAATTTCGCTCGGATACAAGTATCCGGATACTTTAAAGGATACTTTTACGGATACTTTTAAAGTGAGTTAAAATAATGTTTTCATACCAACAGTTATAATTATGCAATAAGATTGATTACGAGTAACAATAAACTAGGCATAAATAAATTATCGAAAATGGAAAGCGATATAATAGAAACAGGAAAAAACTACTCAATAAATTGTTTTTTATTTTTATTCTGTGAATATAAAACATTAAAACAAAATTAACAATAAAACATAAAGGTGCGTGTAAATAAAACGAGTCGCGCCTGAACCGCGCCAAAAACTAACCAGTGTCGTGTCCATATAAATCTAACGAAATAAGCTCGTTGTTGGCGCGATTTTCCATGTTTATACAATCCATTTTTTGTGGATCCTCCGACGAGAGGTACTTGGTAGAGTCAAGAGCGCCAAAAGGAGGAGGAGTGAGAGATTGCTGAAGGTTTCGTTCTGGCATAGGCAAAGCAGGCTCGTATATTTGATCTTGTCAGATTTGTACACTTTATTGAGGTTGCTAACGACATAAATAACACATGATCAATAACATTATGAACAACAACGTCATACATGTATTTTCTCGACTACATTGTAAGAACTAATAATGTAATTAGACATTTTACAAAACAAAAAATTCGAGGTACCTATACTTACTTACCTTTAGTTAGGCACTAAAACTGATACAGAAAGTTTAGTTATATTGCACTATATAAAACACAGGAACAACTGTCTTTTGTCTTTGCCAACTGAAAAATAATTGGGCTAATGAAACCTCCACAAGTTCGTGACGCTAACACCGGACAAGGGTTTGCAGGATTTTTCCTGTAAAAAGTCCCGACCGTCTGTATACTGGGTGAATTGTCGAATTCATCCTTGGTGATGAGAATTTTTTTTGCGTTATTTTAAATTTTACAGGGTGCACCAAACAAAACTACAAATCATAATAAAATAATTATTTTACTATTTTTTATTTAAGTAGGTACCTATTCTTAAATATTTTAATATTGAAAAATACGTATTTTATTTTTAATTATACAGGGTAACTCAAATTATTTCGATTATATATTTTAATAGAGATAATATGGATTGGATCAGTTACGATTGTGGTAAATAATGTAAAAGTATCCGAATGCCGAAAAAAGTATCCGGTATCTGGATACTTACAAATTTGGTCACAGTTACAAGTTTCGGATACATATAAAGTATTCGGATACTGTATCCGGATACAGAAGTATCCGGATACTACCCAACTCTGGTAAGTAGGCATGCGCGTGACTTATTTTCCAAACTGGATGCTTGTACCTGTAATAAGTTGTAAAATAAATATTGCAATCCTTATAAATCAAACGTATATTGACAACTCTATTTTATATAACATGACATTGATCCCCATCACAGTTAACTACTGCTAGTAAGAAGTAAGCTTATTAGGCTATCTTCACACAGTACCAAAGTAAGATAAACATGATAGCTTTGCACTAAATTACTGTTCAATAAGAATATTGGTCCGTTTTTAGTGTCCAAAGAAAATAAAGAAGTGAAAAAAAATAAATCTTAATGGTTTTATATAAACGCAATAACTTGACGAGGTATTTTTTACCATGTTTTAAGGTCGCTGAGAAAAAATTCGCTCACATAATTCAAAGTCTAAATTGTATTATTTAATATCATGAAAAAGTTAATATACTTTTATTGAAACATTTCATAAAATAATTAAACCAATATTTTAATGCAAGGTGGTCAAATTTAACATTTATGAACCAGCACAATGAATATTACATAAGGATGAAAATTTAAAAACGGTAAATATTAAAATTCAAAACTTTGTTGTTTAAGCTATTCATGTTTTTTTTAATTCATTATTTTCGTTGGACACAATAAACAGCCCAATATCTTGCTTTGGTTCAAGCGTCCACTTTTTAAAAATAAGTCAGGCGCATGCCCACTTACGCATCACTTTAAAACGTTGGAAAGAAGAAATGGTCTAGCGAAAATGGTGGAGGAAGTGAATTTTGTGAAAAACATAAAAACTTAAAAATAAATCAAAAACTAACCATAAGAAAATACGTCACGTTCGTACCTTCTCCCGCACTACTTTAAAACGTTAGAAAGAGAAAATGGCCCACCGAAATTGGTGGATGATTTAATGTTTCTTGTGAGTTGTGAGTGGCCACTTATAGTCGAATAAGCATAACGAAAATGTTAAAAAAAAAGTTTTTTAGGTGCACCTACCACTTGTAATACATATAACTACCTAAGTGCCCCAGTCTGAATGTCGCGTTTTCGTGAATTCGTTGGACATGTATCATAGCAGAATTTAATAATAAATTCAGCCTTAAGAAAATAAGTCACAAATCTGCACGTTGGCTGTAGTACTATAACTGTTCTGTTTCAACTATTCCAGCAAATCCAATGTTAAGAAATATGTATGCAAACTGTAGAAAAATTATATTAGACATCAAGATAGAACAAATCTATTGTGTTGTAAGTGCAAGTAGGCCATATTTAAAAAATAATAATTAACGTGTTTTTTATTAACACCTAATAAAAAAAGATAAATTTTTATGCGTTCTTAAACTAAATTTGTAAATTTCTGTGATATAGCTGATTAAAATTAGCGATAAATAATCAGGAACACTTTCGAGATCATCCTATCGGCACCCTAATATATATATATTTATAAAATATAAAATTGATATTATATTTATTTGCACTAGTGTTTAAACCGGGAACAAAGTGCGCATGCGTTTTTGATAACTTGTTTTAAACCTGGAACGCTTCGAGTGGAATGGACTGGACAACCTCCCTAAATTAAGTATATGTATCAGCCTTGAGTGTTTCTATTTTTATATTCAGGTTGTGGTTAAAGGTATGGAAATTTAATTTAACCATATCGATCGTTGATATAATATAATATAATATGTATTTGTAGTCCAATCATTGCTGCAGAAAGGAAATCCCGTAAGTTATT